GAAAGAGGAAAATACATGTAGTTATAGCCATACAATTTAAAGACTAAAGGAAATTAACCTTTTGTCTATGTTATTCAAAATGTTCGTGAATACTCATGCAACATATGCCTGTAAAGATATCGGCTTCTAGATTCCAGTAAACTGCGCTGTTTTACAATTGACAAACCCGCCACTTATACTAAGCTGTACAATTACTAATTTTATACATAGTGAACAAAATTATGAAATATCGCGTAAACCGCTATACTGAACGCCAAGTTTGTAATGTTGACTGTGTATCCATGCAAATAACGCGTGCTGACACGTAGCTGAGAACTGGTGGAAGATCAGTTTAAAATATGCATATCAAAGTGATCAAGTGTTCAACCATTCATTTGTGTTTTACAAATTGCCACGATAAAACTGTCCGTTTCGTTCTGGCATATTAGAGAGGTGCAGATTTGATTTCCACTACCTTTCACAGCTGGCTTAAAAAGTGTCTCGAAGAACAATAACGGTTTTCGCAAGGTCGACTTGCTTAGAATTGCCGAATTATTTCATGCATTCACTTTCGCACAGAAGACAAAATAAAGATGTTTCGATTTTGAGTTTCACTTCCGCTACCATTAGCCAATCAGATGCGCGTATTAAATACTAAAATAAAATTGCAGTTTTACTAGTATTATGGCTGTAAGTAAAACATGAATGCATGGTTGGTTCCAACCTCACGTGGCGCGAGATTCGGGCAAATTCGTTGTTAATTCTTTCAAACTTTTATATTTTGCCTCTGGAATGTCTTCGGCAATAAGACTCGCGGCATAAAATGTTGGTGGAATTTTGTTACCAATCTTAAATAATTTGTTAATTTTTGTTTTAAAAAGGGAAATACTTCACCTATTTTCTTCATTTAAATTGATTTTCTATTTTTCGTAACGATGAGCAAATCTTCCCCAAAAAAGGTAAGTTCAGATTCAAATTGAGAAATCGGGAGGAACGTGTAGAAGTCAGAAAATTTAGGATCAAATTGACGTACGAAGTCTCAGTTACATGTTATACTCAACAAAATCCTTACACCGAGAACGCGTTATTTGCAAATGTGCAGTGGGACACTGCCATAGAAATAATAGAAATGATAAATAGATATAATATAATGAATATATAGTATATATTATTTATATGGACACTACGAGTTGATATATCACTATTGTCAGTCCACGATAATCTTAATAAACATAACATCATCCTTGATGTACTGACGGTTATTCAAGCTACCAAGAGGCATAAAGAGCGGGGAGCCTGACGCGATATTCATATCAGACTTGGGACGTTGAAACGAGGAACTTTGAGGATCTGAATGAAACGCATCAATCATGTGATCTCCATTGCCTTGATCCAACAACATCATCGTGATCTTCTTTTGCAACGGCCAGGTTTGAAGAGCGTCGTAGTCGCCTTTCATCATAACGAAAAACAAAGATAAATGCGATCCTTTTCCAAATCCATCTCCATTCATATATAGTTTAGCACACATCTTATATCCAAACTCACTAGTGTAAAAATATGGACTAAATATGGTAGTCTTCACTCCATTAATAGCATCTTGTCGCTTCCTCTGGTAGCCTTCAATCTTCCAAAGTAGAACACCGTTGTAGTTCACTTTAGTTTGAGACGGTTCTCTTGGTTCTAGGTCTGCAAACCGGGCTGTTATAACAGCAACGGATTGATCAATCTGTTCCATCTTATTTTGGTATCTTTCCATCGCCTCCATTGTTTCCCTCAGTTGTGTTTCAAGCCTGGTATTTTTTGCTTGTAAGTTTTCTATTTCCTTTCCCATTCTCATTTCAACTTGTCTGATTTCAGCGTTACTTCCTGAACCGTTAGAACTACTTGCTCTATTTAAATCCACGTTTTCCAATCTTCTTATTAAACCATTTACAGTTCCCATCATTGTGGAGAATTTACTTTCCATGGTTTTAATTTCGGCCGAAATTGCATCTTTTATTCCGTTGACTTCATCCAAAACCAGCTGCTTCGTGGCAAAATTCTCGAACTTCGGAGCAATACTTTGCACGCCGCCTTGCAGTTCGAAAATAAATCTCAACAACAGCCGAATGTGAAAACGAGACGCATCCTTGTAATGCTTGCGAAGCTCTTTTCTTTTACTCACCTAAATAAATAACATCGAAATCGTTAACGGATTGAAGTCTTATTGTAAACACAAAACATGATTGGAAAGCAGGAAAATTAAACTACAATTTTCAAGACTAATAGAAATATACAGGAATGGAGATTCAGTTGAGGGACATCGTTCTGGGTTCGACTATTGACCATGACAAGTGCGTAATCATTAGAGGGAACTACGGCAGGATGGCACTAGTCCGTGATCTTGTTTGACAATTTCACAATCATGCATGTTACTACCTCATTTATCTCGATTTTATTTTTGTTTTTGTTTGTATAACTGCCGTTAACGTTCTAAATCCGCCTTTCTGAGCCCCCCCCCTCCCATTTGCAAAGGCAAGGAAGGGTGTACACCCCTCCCCCTTTCCAGTAAATCCATCTCTGCATATATGAAAAGAATGACCATTATTTTCTCTCGGCTCTAATACTTAAAGTTGATCACCATTTGTAGGACAACAGGTGGCTTTATACTAAACATTATCGCCGTGCAAAAGATGGTGGTCAACCTCCAGTTATCAGAGTGAGAAAATAATGTTCATTCTTCTAAATATATGTCGTAATCTGGTAATAGTCTTGTCAGCAATGTAGTTTAATTTTAAGTGTCCACACATTTTTGACGTTGGCTGTGCTGTCAGTCTTACTGAAATCAATCAATACAGTGTAGTAACACACTAACCTTAGTATAGTCGCAGCCAATTGATTTAAAATCACATTCTACGTCGATTTCTTCACATTCCTCAGTCTGATGATTTCTCATTTCCTTTCGAGGTATATTCGTTAATTGACAATATTCACATGTGAGGGGAGCTGACTGACAACTTTCTGATACATGTTTCTATACAAAAAATAAGCATAGACAATTGTATAAAATAGAAAATTTTAATTCACTGTAAAAGTGAGCAAATATATTTTCTAATTTGTATGCGCTGTGAACTTCAGTTGAAAGCTGATTGCGAATGGCACAGCTCAGATGTGACCAAGTTTAAGGCTCACTATAGGGCGCCTCTGCATACGAGCATGTCTTATCAAGGAGTAGCTCCGATAGAAGGGTCAGTTTTTGTTGAAGGAGAACCAACCAAACTCTACTTATGTGTTTTCAAACAAATCAAGTCAGAATATAGATACCTATCAAGTAACAAGCCCTCCTCTCCACCTATATACTGTACCGTAGCAGGCTTATGTCAGCGGTAAAGATCAGCGTGCTAACATACCTGGAATCTTATTTGACATTATCAGAGTACAATCACTGGCGTTATATTAAACCAGCAAGTTAAATGATAATATACAGGGCGTTAGAAAAGGTTGAAGGAACTGTAGTGTTTCTTATCTCTAATCCCCACAATAGCTTGACTTGTGTGAACATACCTCCACAGAAGCAAAAGGCAGCGTTTCTTGACAATTTTCACACTGGACTGATCGATATAAACATTCTTCCTTTAAATGTTCTGCCAGGAGTGAACGTTTGATTTTAGCTTTACATGGAGTATGAACACATATTATCACGGTGTACTCACATGAGTCGATGTGAGCCTAAAAAGAAATATGACCGTTATAACACTTACAGAAAAACTTAATTTATCAGTTAGTGTGATTTTCTAGTTTTGTACCGTTACAAGGTGCGCGAAATCAAAACTGCGCAAAAATATCGCATTTAGCGAGGTGCGCTAAACAGTTACATCGCGCGAAATTAAGTATGATTTAAAACTGAGCGAATATTAGTACAACACGAATATACAAAGTGATACAGTCATTTACAGTCGCAGAATTATTTACCTGCAAATCTTTTCCCGCCCCAAACCAATCACATTCATTATTTGAACAATGTAGCTCCAACGACATTAGTTCTCGCTTTGTGTAACCATCGAGAAAAATCTAGGAAAAAATTACTTTTTATGGTGTCTTCATTTATATGGTTTTGTTCTGGGGGGCTATTTATTATGTGCCAAAGTAATAGGCCATAATAGTGAGGTTTAAACTGCTACTACTGCTATCATTCAGAAGCCACTAACCAATCAGATGCGTTTAATCTATCCGATTAACCAATCACATACGTACTTAGCCAATAAAAGTTGCGGTAGAGGTAGTGGAAGTCCCGTCAAAACAATGACTGACTCACTGATTGCAGGATGGCATGGAGAACAGTGGGATTTTCAAAACAATGAAAAGACAATGGAACATTCTGATCACTGGATCGTGACTGGATGACACTGCTAAGTGTTGTGTGAAGGCATTATTTGATATGAATATCGTCAAATGTTTACATGTATCATTGACTATATTAGTCTAACTAAATTTTTAAGGTGGTCATTTAGATGCTATACAAGTTTTACTCCGATCAATATCACTTTGAAGGGGAAATCTTGAGACGGAAAATAGTTAACTTACTTCCTTCTCATTAAGCGAGGCTCCATCTTTTGGACACACTGGATTGGCATGGCTGAAATATAAAAATTTGTCTATTTTGTCTAAAATAGACCACAGCTTGATTGTGTGGACACGTGTAAATGCTACAGGTAAATCAAATTATAGTCTGTTTAGTTTTGTATATAGATCACAAGTTTGAAGTCCTGCAAGTGAATCAATTCACTCCTTGTACATGCACGGTTTATTTCATACATGGAAAAGCTCAACATAACTTGAGATCTTTAAAGTATAGTCTTCATCTCGCAGTCGCCGAGTAAGTTTACATGAGACCGGGACTATAAGTCAAACCGGGAGCATTTCGTTTCGGTCATAGTATATTATTTATAATAGATGTTTACATGAGACTGGGACGCTCAGCTGACATCTCCAGTGTGCGCCGGGCTTAACCGTGCAATTGCCGTGTGAGTTAATAATATGGGCGGACGAATTTACGCATATTATACAGTTCTGGACTCGTCCAGGTGCCTTGTGGACATAGTCAGTGAGAGCTAGTTCATATACGTTTATATATTACCTAGCAAGGCGTGTTTTATAGGCCCCGTTTACATGATCATGATGAGACGGCCGGGACGAAGTCAAATCGAAATGAAAATTGATATTGTCAACATGTTTACATGAGAACGGTACGATTTATTTCCCTTGTCAGGCAATTTTCTTTTTTTAGAGATGGCTTTTGTTAGCATGCGTCGTTCCAATGTTATGGGGACGAGACCGGTCTGAAATGTTGTGTTTACATTCATCCCAAATTACCTCAAAACAGCTTGGAGACAGCTTTTACACATCAAATGTCCACATTGGGTTTGCATCGGTTCATTCAGCAACAGCTCACATTTCGAACAGAGGAACTTTGAGTCGATTTTTCTTCGATCAACTTTTGAAATTTGTTGCCCAGGCATAACGAAATTCTGAAATGAAAGTGATAGCATAAATTATGTGCCACATTTAAAATATGTATGATCTACAGAGTACTTTAGATTTTACATCATGTGCCACGTTGTTGCATAAATCATGTGCCACGTATATACAGACTACAGTCCCAAAAAACCAAACTATTGAAATAACGTATTGTTAGAATTTGAATGCCTTACTCAGCTGAACCCACAAGCATGCATAAAAGCTTATTAAAAAGTTAAAGTGCCTATGAAACGAAATTTTCAACTAAGACTTTATACGTAAATACTGTAAATGTAACACATTTTGATACGGGAATCCGTAGTATGATTTATTTTTTTCTTAAACCTCGGGAAGTTTGTTTTTTCTTCACTAAAGTAGCCTGAAATTTTCCAGAGAACTGGGAACTAGAGATTGTGGCTTGTGACGTCACACGTTAGTAAATTTTATGCATAAAGAAACCGTTTAATTAACTGAAGTTGCTATAAATTCCCAAGAGCAGAAAATCGTGCGCTTTACGCATATTTGCGTTCAGCTTAGTGTGCTAGGGCATTCAAATTCTAACAATACGTTATTTCAATAGGTTGGTTTTTGGGGGACACCCTGTACATTTCACTAAGTCTTTTGTTGTCATTATATTAAGAACATGTGGCTCTATTCAGCGTTGCCAGATTGCTGAATAAATAAACCAAACACTGTTCAAAGAAAACAAAGGTTATGATTGAATAATATTTGGCTTATTTATTTTAATTAGCAATCAGGCAACCCTGGCTCTATTCACAGATGGTGAATAAGCACGTGCTATTTAATGGAAGTGTTGAAAAGCAGAACAATTTTCCAGATACAAAAATCTTATGTTCTATGGAGCTAGATGCCCCAAAATCTCGACTGTTACAGTTAACATCCATTCATTTAAACTGTCTAAGCCAGGGATGGATTTACTGGGGGGGGGTGCGCAACCCCCTAGCCCTGGCCAGGAGGTGTAGGGGAGGGGGGGGTGCTATTTTTAATGATAAAGCAAAAATATATTAAAGACAAAATGAGATACAGTAATTTGAGTCATGTTATTACATGATGATAAGCGAACTGTGAACAACAATTAGAATTCAAGTACAGTGGTCAAGCAAGACTTTGCAGTAATCAAGCAAGTTGATGGGGGGCACACATGATCAACTGACACAACTCGGCACCAGAGCTGGCAGAGCACCTCCCCCCCCCCCCACCAGATCATGCTGGATCCATCCCTGGTCCAAGCCTGACTAAAACTAAAGGTGGTTTAATACAAAAACAATAAGCTACATGCAGACAGAAAGGATTCTATGTTTCCTTCTTCTTCTAAATGCTAGACGTTTGATTTGTGTTTTGTTCCAAGAGTATAACTATATTTTGATTCTATAGACTATAGTACACTTGGGTCCAATTTGACAATTACACCCTGGCATTACAACAAGCGGAGGTAGAACGTTATGCACCACTCATGCAGCGGTACAGAATTCAACGCCAATAATTAATGGCATATATACTTACAGAATAACAATTTGTGTTCGTTTTTCCAGCCATCTTAATATATCTAGTACAGGTTTATTATGACCAACTCTCAAACGAATGACGGAATGACTCGAAATGTCGTATTTATATATACTGTTCGAATGTACACATTATTAGACTATTTATATACTGACTACGTACTGTACGTAAAAAAACCCTCCTGCGCCTGCATGGGCTGATACGCATGGGGTTTTCCCACTGCACTGAAACAATCTATTTGTTTGTTTGACTGATTTAATTCCGGGAACTGCTGAAATAGTAATTTCATTTTGTTTAGAAATTTCCTCCAGTGTTTGCATGTTTGATCATACTTCTGTTTGTCGCGATAGACTATGTCTATGGTCTACTGTGAAAGATATAATACATAATACATAATTATTCTTTCGACGCAAGAAAGAAAATACGAAAGGAAAACGTTCAACGAAAATTTTGCCAAGAAAATTTGTACCTGCCGTTTGCCGTTCGGAAACGTGAAGCTTTAAAAACTCCCTATTAGAGAGCTATATTAGGCTTGATTAATTTGGGTCCTTTCGATCATAGTGTTTCGATCCAGCGGGGAGTGAACGAATCAACACGGACGTCATGCAGGTAAATCCTCACCGATGTCAACAAGATACTTGAATAAGAATATTTGACAGTTTCCTGTTGGAATAATCAGAGATTGAGGCCCCGTTTACACTATACCGGATTACTTTTCATACCGGATTAATTTTCACTCCGAAGTAAAAAGTCAAGGGTGTTTACACTATGCCGCTTCGCTCTGTTGCCAGCTCATGTCTTTCACTGTCGCAATGGAAACAAGTAGCCAGCATAGCAAAATTTATTAAAAACAAGAAGTAACACCCGTTTTCTTTGTAAAGTATAACTCTGTTTAAAAAGCTTGACCGCCAGACGTTGCTTCGTTTCGCTCTAATCCAAAATTTCAGAGTATTTCTTTAAATTTTGCTCTTTCGAAAGCGAAAAGTCAATTTTATTATCGTTTTCTTTACTTGTATTCGGCAGAAATAGTAAAGGGTTGCAAGGCGAAACAAACAACAGCAATAAAGTATTGTAAAAGCCAGCAAATAAAGGCGACAATGTTAAAACATACATACATACGTACCGGATTACTGTGGCGTAGTGTAAACAGCAGCCGAATCTGGTATGAAAACACCAATCTATACTGTTTTGCATAAAAGGGAATTTCCCTTAAATATATGATGACGTATACTCAATCAATCGGATCAGAAATGATGTAATGTCCATAGTAATGTCCAGTGATACTATATACTTCGGGTTAGGTTAAAACGCGGAAGCGGATGCGGAACGGTAGAATGCGGAACGGAACGGATATGCGGAACGGAACGGATATGGGGTTAAAATGCGGAACGGAACGGAAATGCGGAACGGATATGGGGTTAAAATGCGGAACGGAACGGGGAATAAAATTATACCCCCTCCTACATTACTAAAATATGCGGAACGGAACGGATATGGGGTTAAAATGCGGAACGGAACGGAAATGCGGAACGGATATGGGGTTAAAATGCGGAACGGAACGGGAATAAAATTATACCCCCTCCTACATTACTAAAAGAGACTGTCGACCCGCAAACAAACAAGTCCTAATCACCACCTTATCCCAAATCAACTGGACCCCACTTTACCACGTAACTGCTCTAGATGATCAACTCAACCTATTCTCGAACAAACTATCCTCTGTTATCGATAGTCACCTCCCTCTGCGCACCATAAAGTGTTACCCTAAAGCAGTGGCGGCGCCAGGCTTCCAAATTTGGGGGGGCATTTGAGGGGCAAACTTAAATTTTGGGGGGGCAAGATAGAATTTTTAAAAAGGTCGCCCCCCCCAGGAAATTCTCCCCCCCCCACTCAAAACGTGGCGATATTCCTAGGAATATTGCCCCCGGGGGGCGAATATCCTAGGAATATCGCCTCCCAGGGGGTGGGGCGAATACCCTAGGAATATCACCCCTCTTTAGGACATTCGCCCCCCATATATGCGATGTGGTTTATTCAAATAATTTCGTGATACTTTCATCTTATTATTGCCTTATACGTTTGAGAATTTAACTCTGCAAAACTAAAGCTTTTTTGTCTTTTTTTGAAACGTATTATTGGAGTATTGGCAAGTTTTACCATTCAGAGATTTACAAACTAATATTGAAACTGTAAAAAACAGTTTCATGTATACGCGCATTCACTAATGAGTAATGACAACTTATAAGCTATACATTTTCCGATAACGACAGAACGCTTGTGTAGCCTTTAGTCGCTTTTAGTGACTAATAATTTTTTTTGAGGGGGGGCAAAATGGGGGGGCAAAAAATAATTTGGGGGGGGGGGCATTTGCCCCCCTTGCCCCCCCCCCCCGGCGCCGCCACTGCCCTAAAGATAAACCATGGATCACTGCAGATATAAAAAAATTCATTTCTAAAAGGCAGAAAGCTTGGTTAACCGGCAACACTATCATGTATAACGTTTATCGTAACAAAGTTAGAAAACTATGTAAATCTGCTCGTCAGTCCTACTACGATA